CTGACTACTTGTATCACAGGTGTTTGTAAAACGGAGCTCATTAACGAATTTTGTAAATCTACTCACTAGTATCATTGTAAAATATGTGATTTCAAAAGGCCCTTCACTCCAGAATGAAAAGATGGTAGCTGCTGGTGTAAGTATGTATACTGATATAAAGCGGTGTTTTACTATACATGTTCTTCTTACAAGGTAAGATGACAAAATAAATTGACCAAAAGCAGGCAATAATTAAATTGCAGTGGAAGCTTTACATGTTTTGAAAACATTTTTTAATTTCACAGAAAAACTAAAGCTATAATAAATTTGAAACATATAGATAGTTTGTCCCCAAAGATATAGTGTAGCAGATAGGCATTAAAAAGCAACTACAAATAGATCAGAGATTATAGGTTTTTTTTTTTTTTATCAGTTCAAAGTAAAACTAAAAGATTTATCAGAATATAATTTTATATATATATATATATATATATATAGGTGGCACATTATCTTCAGACATAATCACAGTTTTTCAATTCATAACATCGTCCTGAACATGCATGAAATATTTGCCACTGGACATTAAGCAACCAATAATCAATAAATCAATCAATTCATGACGAAATAGATCACTTTCCTTAAGAAAGTTAAAAAAATTATCACCAAGTTGCTTTAATTTTCCTTCACAAGGTTTCATAGTACATACTTTTCTGTGTACAAAGTAATTGCATGGATGATACATTATCATAATTTTAAGATATCGTTGTACTCTAATCAAGGTATAAAGAACCATATGTATTACCCTTTATTTAAATGATAAAATTTGCAATTGTCAAAAACATTTTTTAGATCCAAAGATTTTAATAGCAGGATATTTAAAAATCAATGTGAAAACTAATTACAAACTATTTAATTTAATTTGGAACACAGCATTTTATTTCAAAATAGCCAGTGGCAATTTTTGTTTTAAATATCTTGATTACGATACAATGAAATCTTACCCTTGTGGTCATTCATGCGTAGTTACTTAGTACACAGGAAAAGTATGTACTATGAAAATTAGAAGGCAAATATAAGCAATTTGATTGGACGAGAAGTTGTAAGTATGTGCTAAAAAAAGAATCCACGGTAAATGAATAGGCTGACGTCACGACAATGGTTTAATTTTAAAAGATTGATTGCTTTTTGATTGCTAAGCGTTCAGTGACTTTTAACTGAAGGACATGTGGCCTTTACAAATGTTTAAAATCAAGTATAAGATCAGTTTAGAACCGTATAAAAAATAATGAGATATGGTATGATTACCAATGAGACAACTATCCACAAAAGTTCAAATGAGGTGGATATAAGCATTTATAGGCAACCGTACGCCCTTCAACAACGAGAAAAACCAATACCGTATAGTCGGCTACAAAAAGCACCGACATGAAAAATATGAAACAATTCAATTGAGATAACCAAAGGCCTAATTAATAACAAAACAATTTACGAAAAACAAACATGATAGACATGAACCAATGACAACCACTGAATTGCAGGCTCCTGAATTTGGACAGGCACATACAGAATTTGGCGGGGTTAAGCATGTTAAACATTTTTGTGAACGCTTCAAAGTTACAGCACTGGAGCTCTTATACTAAGTCGTTCGATTGCTGTTTAATAGAAGTGTACTCAACATTTCCTTTTATGTATAAGTTATTATGCATGCAGACATACAAAAAAAAAAAAAAAATCTCTGAATAGAAACAGTAAACTTATCTTCATAATATGTTAATGAATTAGAGTATAATAAGTTTGAACAACATTTATTTCGATTTAATCATTTATATAGCGTTTGGTTGTTGAATGAAAAAAAAAATCACCAAACACTTACAACCGTTATCAAAAGCGGAGTAAGGGGTGAAAGCATCTATAAATAAGAATTACTATAGCAATAAAAAACTTAAATTAGCAGATGTTTTTGAGACAATATCTTACTTATTTGGCCCCTAAGAGTAAAAACTAACAAATTACGGAAGAAAACTCTAAGATGAATGTTCAAATCATATCCATTAGACTGTTCTATATATTTATGTGTGAATATAAAACAACCGAAAATCTATCTAGCATTAAAAAAATCGAAACAATAAAAATAAATATGGATTAAAACAAAAGCATTTACACACACAAGTCTAAATGTATGACTTTTGCTTCAAAACAGGTACAAATTTAATTTAATATGTATGTAGTTAGGGATTATATGATTTTAAGCGGTACACTTGTGCCCATACCTTTTTAAGCGCTACATTTGTACCTATACCTTGTTAAGCGCTAAATTTGTACCTATACCTTGTTAAGCGCTAAATTTGTACCTATACCTTGTTAAGCGCTTCGTGTGTACTTAAATCTTGTAGATTGCTACATTTGTACCTATACCTTGTCAAGCGCTACATTTGTACCTACAGACACCTTGTAAAGCGCTACAGTTGTACCTATAGTTACTTTGTTAAGCGCTACATTTGTACCTATACCTTGTTAAGCGCTACACGTGTACTTAATATACATTGTTAAGCGCTACATTTGTACCTATACATTTTTAAGCGCTACGTTTGTACCTATACCTCGGGAAGCGCTACATGTGTACCTACACCTCGTTAAGCGCTAAGTTTGTACCCATACTTTGTTTAGCTTTACTTTTTTTTAACCTATATCTTTTTAAGTGCTACGCTTGTATTTATACCCTGTACAGACATGTAAGTCATAAAATCCTACAAACTCTTTAAAAATTATTTGATTAAATTATGAACGATATTTATATTCATATTGTAAGATCTCTTTCTAATAATTTGTGTCGTTGAGTTGCTTTCTCGTTGATATATATAACCCCGCATCTAGTTTTTTTCTATATCGATTTATAAGATTTGAACACCGGTAAAAGACAGGCTTAACCCTATCATAAACTGGTGGTAATCTCAGGTGCTTCAGAAGGGTAGGCAGGTCCTGTTTACAGTTGAAACTACTGTTGCCTGTTTATTTCTTATCAAATAAATGACAGTGACTCAATAGTAGTCTATCCTGCTGGTCAGAATTTCTGTGATCATGGATAAAAAACATTATAATCTATTCTTTTTCTGTCAGCCGTAGTCCAATGTCATTTTGTGTTTGCATGACTTGGGGAAAAGCATATCAAAGTAACAAAGTGTATGTGTGTGCAGGCTTTAAATCTAGTATGTGCAATGCACAAAATGGAATGAAAGTAATGAGGAGAGCATTTTAACGAATCGCAATGTTAGAACTAAAAAATAAAAGGATAACAAAAAATCTATAAAAAAAATTGAAAAGAAAACATTAAAAGTTAAAAAGTAAATATAAAACAAACTAACAACTAACCAACCAATAGAAAATGCAAGAGAAATAAACTTAAACAACAAGCTTACTATAACATTACAGTAAATTAATGTTTTATAAATCCTGGTTCACAATGACAATGTATTAAAATAATTTAAGTTAGATTAACTATTACCATCATCTGGATTGTATAATAGCAGCTAGCACACAATGGGTGACGACGAGTTTTTTTTAACGACCTTGACTATCCATGAGGGTCTCGCACGGTCGGCTATATATATTAAAGTTCTTTGCTTAAATCTGCAAATTGTGAGACAGCTTGACAATAAGTGTGCAAGTTTGTCTATTTCAAAAATAAAGAAAAACAAGTGATTTATTGCAATATTTAGAATATTTTACAACTTAACCATATGCATCCAAGGAGAGGTAACTCAAATAGGAATAATGAATGTTAAAGAAATTTTCATTTTTACCAGCAATAAGACAAGGTCTGTGACACCATTTTTTCTGTTTGTTTTTCGTGAAGCATTTTATCAACCCTTTTTTCTCATATTATATTTCAAAATTTTATCTCATAGATTTTTTTTGTTCACCAAAAAAAGTGTTCTTTTCATGAATAATCCATGCAAATTGGGCAATTTTGCACGACTCGTAGCTTGAAAAATAACACAGTGACCCATACTTTTTATTATATGATTTAAATAAGCATGGTAAAATCTATTTTGACAAAGTATTAGAAAATTCTATCCGAGGAAAAACGAATAATAAAGAAACAATTAAAATCAAACTCACGGTCAAAGTAAGACAATATTAAATTTTGACATGTATACAGCAAACATATTTGTTGATAAATGATAAAATATAAGATTAAAGGTTAACAGCAAACTCACTATTTATAAACATGTAAAACTATATAATACAGAAAAAAAATATTTAACTTTTTCAAAATAGAATTTAGAAAACTGATAAACAAAATTTAGAATACGGAAGATATCTTAAAATGCCAAGAAAAGAAAGATTATGCAAAAACTGTAAAAAAAAATAAAGATGAAATGCATTTCGTTTTATATTGTGATTGTAACAGCACTAATAGAAAAGTCTATTTTATTTTTTTGATATATGAGAATATGCACTTTACAGATCTAAATGATATAAGTAGATAAAATTACATATAGTGGGTATATACTCATCCAAAGATCACACATTCAGGTAAATAAGCTCGGATCCTTTTTAAAACAGTCTTTAGAACTGAGGACAGGGGACTCTTAAAATATTCACTTTTATTGTGTTTATTAATGATCTTGTTGATTTTGTTTATTTTTATTTTGTTATGTTGCGTTACATGCTATAAATATGTGGTGTAATGACAATAAAGATTTGAATTGAATTGAATTAAATTTAATAATAATGAATAAATTGTTTAAATCTGTAACAATATTAACAGAAAAAGTCCAAAATCTAAAATGACCCGTGAATATATAATCAGCGTATAGATATTCAATTATAGAAATGATTTAAGATAAAGAAATATTGCACCGAACGAATAATTAATAGTCCGTTAAAAGAGCTATTCAATTTAATCTATGCGGTAAAAGGTCAAAGAAATGCAAGCCTGTCAATCAATGCTGAAAGAAACATTTAAAAAATCAAAGTCGTACACGTAGCATATCGTACTTTCTTTCAAAATATTCACTGCATGGCTGAAACAATTATTTCTGTATTACTTAAAGGCTATTTCACAAGTTTATTTTAGTGAGTAAAATCCTAAAAAATGTACATTTTTGTTCATATGATTGGACATTTTATAAGAGAGAAGTAAACATTCCTAATGATTCTATTGATTTACTTGTGCTTGTTTACTCAAGTTGTAACAGTATTGACAGCAGGTAAGACGCATCTTTTTATTTACGCTACAATGAAAATGTAACCCGGTTTATATCACTGGACCCCCCCCCCCCCCCAAAAAAAAAACCAAAAAACATAAAGTAGAACGAGATCCTTGTAAGAAAAGCGTAGACACGGGATCTTTATTAAAACCAAATTGAAGCAGTGCATACTTTTTAAAACTGTCAGTAAGAACAGATCGTAATATCCGATCAGAAAAGGACAATATTGCCATCTTCATATTTTAACAGGATAATTTTAAACGGAAAATAGGCATTTGTTATAAGTATTATCATCATATCCTCTCCGAATTACAAACCCAGCTGATTTGAAAGGTATTGGATCATGCAATGGGTTATTAAACAGAGAGGGAAGATACCAAAGGCAGAATCCAAAATCAAAAGTCAAAGAAATACCCACAAAATCATGGCAAAGAACGAAAAACGACAGAAAGACGAACACCGGTCTACAAAAAACTACATAACAAACAGGGGCGGAATCCAGTATTTTTGAAAGGATAGTTCCATAAAAAAGGATTAAACACAGAGCGAAGCGAGATTATTTTTTAGACGAGTGTATGCTAAAAAATCATATAAATGATGAAAAACATATTTGTTTGCCAAACAAAAGGGGAGGGAGCGTATGTACATGTATGTGCATGTTTGTGTCAATATACTGATCATGCAAATTAGTAGTCAAGCTTAGTAAACACCATCTTAGCAACGTCTCGCCAATTTGCTGGATTTTATGGACTTAACACGGAGATACGATGATATATAATTGTACCAATTTCAGTTAGTCAGCTTGTAAAATACATTCCCCCGTTTGAAAATTCGGAATCAGAAAACAATTTATCACGTTAACAAATACACATAATTTCATTACATGTATGAAATACACCCGCTATGATTACACATTGTTAAAATAATGCATCAAACAACAATTGAAAAGCTTGATATAACTGTTGATTTCTTGGTTTATGAAGCGCGAAAATACAAAATGTGATACGGTCAACGCTTTTGCACCCCAAACAAATTATAAAAAAGGCATTAATTTCTTAGGTAAGAATTTATAGTTATGACAATATATCTTTTACAGTATGTGGTGATTCTACAATTGGAATGGCTGATCCTCCGTCAACGTATAGTGGAAATATAGATTCCAATTCAAGTAATATGATTTTAATATATTTAATACATCACTATTGAAGATACTCGAGGGTCTCGATTGGGTTTACAGATTAGAGAATATTGGGCCAATACTATGGAAAATGGCCCAAGAATAATAAGAATAGAAAAAAAAATTAAAAAAAATAAATAAAAAAGAATGGAGAATTATTGGGTGCAAAATTCTATAAAGAACAGAGAAAAATTACATAACAGATTAAAGAATACAGACTCGGAGTACCCCATCCAGACCTTCCTACATGTAACTAGCAACCCTTTCATAAAGCACGCACTGTTCAGAGTTAACGTATGATACATCAAAATTATTAAAATAAGGACGTCAATGTGATTGTTTTTCACCCAAAACATTGTAGATGATGTTCTATTGTAGACACTGCCTACGTCATGACTGACGCTGCTGTTGAATTCAGTTGCTGTGGTATGATCAAAACGTGGAAGTTTTATGCTTCAAGATCTGGAACAATCAAACTCCAAGTTTGGAGAACTTGGTTTAATACAAACTTTACACTAGTTGGCGAAAACACTTTTGTAGTCCCAGGTAATTTTGTCATAACTAATTCTTTTTAGGAATAACATTGATTTTAACAAAACTTTCGGAAATTGTGCTTAGTTACAAAATGTACAGATTCAAAAATTGAAAATTAGGAACTTTTAAAGCTATCAGAATATTCATTATGTTTGAAATGAACTCTCCACCTTATAACGCCCTTTTAACCATACCATGGCTGTAGGTAGTATGGTATACAATTTCATGACTGTTTTGTCGATTGCCATGTTTTCCAAGATATAAATTTAAAGTTATCTTTATATTTATAAAATTGAGAATGGAAATGGGGAATGTGTCAAAGAGACAACAGCAGAAGGTCACCAACAGGTTCTCAATGCAGCTAGAAATTCCCGCACCCGAAGGCGTCCTTCAGCTGGCCCCTAAACAAATATATATACTAGTTCAGTGATAATGAACGCCATACTAAACTTCAAATTGTACACAAGAAACTAAAATTAAAAATAATACAAAACTAACAAAGGCTAGAGGCTCCTGACTTGGGACAGTATACGCACATTAAAATTCAGTTCAAGAGAAGTCCGAGTCTGATGTCAGAAGATGTTTAGTTCATGACAATATGCTTCTTGTAATAATATAGCATCTTTTATATCTATTTAGTTGAAGCCGTAAACCAAGAAATCCACTATGAAGTCGCTGAAGAGCATCGAATCCAAATAAATAATAATGATTACATTGGATGGTAAGTGGTACATCAAAGTGAATTGTTTGTTACGCAATACATGTTCGAAAAGTCTGAACAATGAATTATTAAGCCATATTCAGTCTTTCAGAAAACTTAAGACTAATTGACTGTGGTAAATTTTGTACTGTTCAGACAATTCGCTAACATTAGGTTTGAACCGCAGAAAATATAGGAGTCATAATGGTATGGTCCGATCGTATCATGGTGCGCGTCTAAAATGGAACTATGTTTTTTTCTAAATAAAAACATCAACCAAATCAATGTAATATAAAATCCGTTTCGTTAATTAGTCACTTACTGAAGAGGCTTCATATTTTACGAAATAGGCAAGCTGCATATAAGACACATTTTGTCATATTACAAATTACAAAAAAAAAAAAAGATTAGAACAACGATTTAAATGCGAGACTGGACTGATGCATACAGTCCACTATGCTCATCCAAAATTTCGAGATCTATAGAGTATGTTTTTTGCAGATTTGTATGTTTCTACAATTAAACGAAGGTTTAAAAACGTCATATTTGTGAGTGACTTTCGGTGATGACTATATTTGATAGCAACATTTCTTGCGAATTAATTAGAAATAATAACATTGCATTTATGTTTCATAAGAATTCACAACTTTTGATTGATTGAAAACAATGGAGAACCATTCCAAAATTATATTTTATTTCAAAATAAAATGCTTCCACGCTTCATACAAAAAGTGCTTCGGTCAACGCTTTTACATCCAAATAAAATGACAAAAAGAAACATTACATTCTTAAACATGAAGTATGTATAGAAACTATAAGATAAGAAATAATTCCTGTGATGTTTTGATGGCCGGCAACCAACTTGTAAAATCTCTCATCATCAAAACCTTGAAAATTGTCTACATGGTACTTTATCGTGTTGCTTAGTCTTTAGTTTTCTATGTTGTGTCATCTGTACTATTATTTGTCTGTTTGTCTTTTTATTTTTGGCCATGACGTTGTCAGTTTGTTTTCGATCTATGAGTTTGACTGTCCCTCTGGTATCTTTCGTCCCTCTTTTATCATTTGGTCTTTAAAAAAGTATACACATCATTCTTTTAACTTAAAAACTTTTGACATTCAGACGAGATTAACGAAAATTCTAAAAATCAGATCGCATTTGAAAAATCAAAAGAGGGCATGCAGTTAATGACATATAGCATGTCACTAAAAATTCCAAACTAGCTACTTACTGCGGTTTAACATTATAACTACTTACTACGTCCCTATCAATTCTATGACTTTACTGTTACTTTAGGTTTCTTTCTCATTGAAATTTACAACACATGTTGTTTTTTCATACAGGTATACAACGGGAACTGATATAATACCATATAGTGGAGGAGCGAGACCAGATAATACATACTATATAAGTACAAGCGTGTCGGTTGATAGTACATATCCATTTACGTCTAACTATGACAACCGTGTTTATGCCATTGTTGCCGTAGTTACTGCAAGTAAGTTTCTTTTAAAATACATGTACTATGCATTAAATCTTATATCCCTTGATTCTTAAAACAATCATAACAGCAAAGTTATATTTTCTATTGGATAATATTCTATGAATAATAAACGGGGTTTGAAAAATAAATCAAATTTGAAAGACTTAAAATATCAAAACAGTTTTTTTTTTCTCTCAAAATATAAAAAAGAAGATGTCAGGTATGATTGCCAATGAGACAACTCTCCACAAGTGACAGTGGTGCATGGTTACATTTTCTGTACAAACACTATATCACTTCTCAAAAATACTTCATTGTTATTCAGATCTACATTCATACAAATAATTATATAGTAAGCACCTCCTATATTTTCATACCAGAGTCTTCAAATATGCTTATCTGATGTTCAGTAGTTGTCGTTTGTTGATGTGGTTCATAAGTGTTTCTCGTTTCTCGTTTTTTTATATAGATTAGACCGTTGGTTTTCCCGTTTGAATAGTTTTACACTAGTAATTTTTGGGGCCCTTTATAGCTTGCTGTTCGGTGTTAGCCAAGGCTCCGTGTTGGGGACCGTACTTTGACCTATAATGGTTTACTTTTATAAATTTTGACTTGGATGGAGAGTTGTCTCATTGGCACTCATACCACATCTTCTTATATCAATTGAATGTAGTGTATCTAATTAATAGGTGTATAAGGTATTGTATAAAAATAGGAAGATGTGGTATGATTGCCAATGAGAGAACTATCCACCAAAGTTCAAATGAAGTGGGTGTAAGCAATTATAAGTAATCGTACGGCCTACGACAATGAAAAAGACCCATACCGTATGGTCGGCTATAAAAGGATTTAACATTTGAGATTTTCAATATCAATCATGATTATTACTGAATATTCATCAAGAACTTTCGAAGGAAGTTTCCTATTATACGCAGTGAATTCATCTTATTTATTTTTCTAATCCAGAGCCTTTCTAAAATGTTCTATACATGTCTCAAATTTGTGCACATATTTTGTATTCTGCTAATTGTGGTACCTATAAATAATAAGGAGATGTGGTGTTGATTGCTAATAGCACAATTATCCGTTAAAGACCTACGGACAAAGGTGTAAACAATTACATATCTCCTAGTCAAATTTGTGTAACATTCTAGATTGAGGGTTCAATTTTGCGTTATCATATCCTTCAACAGTTTGTGTTTTAGCCTTATTTGTTTTAAATATCTGTATTAATATTTAAAAAGAGGGCCTAAATTTGAGGACACATTGGATAATGTTTCATATTTTTATGGTGAAATTTCAGTATCTTTCATTTTACAAACCATAACTTTCTTATCTCAGCTAACTCAGGTCTTTGACCTTGTCTTTTCATTGTAAATGTTTATTTGATGTGTCTCGTTTGCAGCATATCAAACGAAATCGTCTAGATACATTCTTGTTTGACTTTTAGTGTGGCATGTTAATTTTTTGTATTTTTTTTATGTTTAGACCATTTCCTCTATTATTGATTTTTCGGCCATCAATTTTCATATTTTTTATATTGAAGCACCCTATCAAATACAGTCGATATTTTTTGTTCTTTTTTATCTCTTTTATCTTTTATCTCGAAATGAAATTTCCTGATCTATTTATAGCTTAGAAATTAAACAAATTATTGCTTTTGAATTAACAGTTACATGACATTCACTTGGCAGACCTTGGCGCAAAAAAAAAATAAAAATAAATAAATAAAAAAATAAAAAGTGAAACAACACTTTATAAGTTGAATACATTCGACGGTCTTTTCTGGATTTACTTTCATAAGACACATTCACCAAATCTACCTAAGGTCATATTTGCCTGAATGAGTTGAAACCACAATTTCGTTATTTGTCAAAGATACAAAAGTACATTGTATGTTCATTTCATCTTTTGAACAAGTAATATATTTCGGTGTTGCATTTCAATCTAGTCCCCCCCCCCCCCAAAAAAAAAACGGTTTGGATGCACCAAAAGTTTGTAAGTGCCATTTTATGTTCTTTCATGCGTCCTCATATCTAGACTTCTTGTTTTACTTAATATGCATACAACGTGTATAATATATTTTTGCATACAAACTGTGTACATAACTCGATCGTGACTCAAAATATTTTTGATATTGTATATCGGCTTCTCTCTGTTTGTTCAGTATCGTTAAAACGAACAACGTCAACTGTACGATGGTTAAGCATGTTCGATAAGTCTGGATGTATTAATTGTAAATATCATCAATATTTAATTCATCAAATCATATTCTGATGAAATTGTGTTGAACAATATATTTTAATCTTTTATTTTGTTTTCTCAGAACGTAAACAAACACAATTTTCCCATCATCCTTTATTTTACAATAATAATACTCGCATATGACAGTGAAAATCAACTATCTGGATTCGCACTTTGTATACACTGGTTACACTGTGCAACACGTTCATAATTTGAGTTCATTCTGCTATGTGTATACATTTTGATATCAGAAGAAAGTTCTGTCAGCTGTTTCTTATTACTTTTACACAGTGGCATATTTATTAGTTTAGTATTACATGACCTTGGTCGATACATAACTATTTGAATCTATAATTCTGTATTTTTCTATTGTACAATTTTATATATTATAAGTTTGCGTATTTCCCAAACCAATATAAATACATTTTTTTTCCGACATGTTGTATATGGGAAAAAAAATATAGTTAAATACTCTTGGTTTTTTGTTATTAAATATTTGCTGACTTTGAAATACAATATTTTGTAAATATTCACTGGTTATTTATCAATATATAAATTGTATTCCCATTTGCCTTTGTTTAAGGATACTTTTATGTTCAAACAAATAGTGATTTGTATATACCTGTCACGATTAGATTTATTCACAACTTTTCATATAAATTTAAAGCGATTTAGAGCTTGATATCGATTAAGTAAGATTCATCGAAAACACAAACCCTAGATCTCTTTTAACACAGGAGGTTATGCTGTTATAATCTCTAGACGACACGAATACACATTCATGGTATACATATGTTATGAATGTCGTACATGGTAGGAATATATTACTTCATATAGAAATTGTAAACACTTAAAAAGTTATCATCTTTTTTGCGATAAAAAAAGTGGAAAAAAGGGGGGGATACGCTCTCTACAGCCCTTGGCACCACCACTGGTTAACTGCTCTAGATGCTGATTAAGAAGAAAAATGTAACATTTTGATTTAGAATTAACTAACAAATTCTGCTGCAAGTAGTAAATTATATTTATTCAAAATAGAAAAATTAAAATGATTAAATTGTGTCAATCAATAATAGTAATATCCTTCATCAGTGAAAATAAAATTTATCTTAACTATACACACTAATTATGGATTGTAAACGACGCTGACCCAAATAATTTCTGCAAGAGGATAAGCTCTATATTTAAGGAACGATAAAAAAAGTTAGCAAAAATTTAGCTTATAAGACGACACGAGTTGTCTTTCTTGTATAACATTCTGTGAAAAAAGAAAAATCGGTAAGACGTAAGCATTTATAGGAACGACGTAAATAAAGCGACGGTTGTCGGATGACTATTAGCATTAGATGATCATAAAAATAGCATTTCAGAACTAATAAATTTCGAAACGGCTTATCAGTGCCCAAAAGATCTTTTCCGGATGTATAAAATCTTTTTCTTGCATTACTATGGAATTCAACAATTTTTTAAATTATGGGCTTGCATTATATAACTGGAAATATTATTCAATCCCATAATACAGGTTAAATTAGGGAATTCCATAATATTATGGAGTTCGGTAAGTGCCCCGACTGTTGTACATAATATAATATAATATCATTTGTATTTATATGCTTATAACAGAAAAGCATCTTGTAGTTATACTGAACTTTTGATGATCTTTTCTTTACACTTTTACAATATACTTTGTGTATTGTGTCTAGAGGTCATTGTTTAAAACCTACGAGAAGGTAACACCTCCCGAAACGAAAGCTGTTTTTTATCAGCTAAGGCGTCTGTGCAATGCAGCAAAAGTGCGAAGTGAAAACTTCAGGTTTCAGTCCCACTCTGGGAGGAAGTAAAGAATCAGATCTACTGTAAAAGAGAGGCGAAAGATACCAGAGGGACATTCAAACTCATACGTGGAAAATGAACTGACAACGCCATGGCTAGAAAAAGAAAAAAGATTAACAGACAACTAATAGTACACAAAACACAAGATAGAAAACTAAAGACTGATCAGCACGAACCCCACCAAAAACTGGGGGTGATCTGAGGTGCACCGGAAAGGTAAACAGATCCTGCTCCACATGTTTGTACAAATCCGGTAATAAGTCTAATTCGGTAGGTCACAATCGGGAATAGATGACGAAATCGTAGTTACGACATTAGGAACATATCTAACTGTGTTAGATTGATTTTCTGGACACTTTCAGAAAAACATTTAGAAACCGCCTGTGACAAGGATAGATACTAATAGTTAAACAATGAAGAGAGAAATACTTTTTAGCTCTAGACACGGTTCAAATTGACATATGCAACTATTCCAGTCATAATTACGTTCGATAACTCTGCATGTTACTGGTTTAATTAGGATTATGTAAAATTTACTAGTTACCGGATGAATGGTTTAAAGAAAATTGAAAAATATAGTTATTTCACCTCGGTTAATATCCATTCGAGGTCTTCTTTTATAAATATAAAATAATATCGTAATGAATTTCATTGAGAATTTGTCAACACTAATCAACATAGGTATTGTCAAAACATACATCTACATAGGTATTGTCAAAACTTACATCGTGATTAGGTGCCATGTTTGTTTTCTTTGATCACGTCAGAGACATATATATGTCTCTGATCACGTTGATGTTATGACTTAATATCTCCTTAGTCTAGCTATGTCCTTGGCTATCATTATAGTGACAATAACGTGTCATATTTAATTGCAATATAAACAGTGAAATTAAATTGAATTATTTGCATGGACAAAATAAGTGTCGAACATCGTCTACGTTTGAAAATTATTTGGTCGCCATTTTTTTAAATTTTCATAAAAAAACAACAGCATGTATCAGCTTTATCAAAAGGAACCAATGTTTGATTCTATGCTGCTTTAAGGTAAGACAATGACTGAAAACGCGAGCATCCAACAGTTATTTGATTTTCATTGTAACAATCTTACAAAATATATTTTTACCAAGTCGGCCCACGCTGTCAATGTGGTCGCCATCTTGAAAAATAATACCCGATTTTCTGAAAATAGCTAATTTTCAAATCAATTTGGAAGGGACGTAATAAAAAATTAAACTATTGCATGTACGATATTTCAAATATTTATGAATATAGTAATAAGCACATATTTCCACAATTTTTTCATCTGTTTTGTTTAAATCGCAATTTTAGGTTTAACACGACAGAAAATCCAATATTTATCGGAGTTGGATGATTTAACAGTGTGAATTATCGAGGCAACAAGACAAATTTTCAAAAGCATTTGGAAGGGAGAAGACCAAAATTTAAACTTTTCCAAAAGGCATAAATATATTTCTAAATATATGAGGAATTACTATATATTTCCACACTTTTTTTATCATGAACTTAAAGTAATTTATTTTATCGATTCCTGAAAGCCCCTGTGCATTTCTATACATTTTACTTGGGCATGATACGGGTGATGTGTGACGTCGCCAATGTCACGTGATGACTGCTATAGTTGGATATGATGACTTATAGTTTTTTGTATTTTTGATTGTGAGTAAGAATTGACATAATGTGTTCTAAATGGCAAAGTAAAAGATAAATGAGACAACTGTCAACCAGTAACCATAGTATGTTGATTGTAGCAAGTTCAAATATATGTCTATATACGGCCTTCAACAATGAGCCTATATCATATAGTAAGCTATAAAATTCCTGAAATGGCAAAATGTAAAACAATTCAAGCCAAAAAAAACCAACAAAAACAAATATGATAAACAGCAACAAACAACAACTAATACATGAACATGATACAATTATTTTATTTCTTTGATTTCAGACAAGAAACCTTACTTCGATAATATTCCCTCTCAGATCCACGTGTTTGACCATTTGGCAATCAACGATGTTGTGTGGACACTTGATCCTAAAGATACTGAAAATGATGACATCACAGTGTCGTTATCACAGACTAATACTTACTTCAAACTAAGTACAAGTACGTAATTAACGAAATGATTTTCAAAACACCGGGACAGGACTATTTTTTGCCCTCCCCCTTTTCCCTAATCCCTTATTTTTTGTTTTGTTTTGATAACATTTTTTTGTGTGTTTATACTGGGTGAAACTTACACAAATATATAAAAATAACATTTGTTTTACTATCAATTAATTGCTTATTTACTATGCACAGCAGTCACTGATTATTAATATATATATAGAGAGAATATATCTCACTTCGTACACTGGCATTTATATTTTCCAATGTGAAGTCTTGGAAGAAACTTAAGCTTGATTCGTAACAAATTTACTTACCATGCATCGGCATGTTCGGTCAGTAGGTATGATTCGTTTCTAATTTCATTCTTCTTGTTAAGGAGTCGACACTTATAATGATATCCGACCTCTGTCGGCAAATGGGGTCAATTTTCTCGTGTTGTCGTGTTGTCGTATTTTAAATTTTATTGGACCAATGTCCCAAGTACGTGTGGTTTTATAAGGTGTCGTATATGTATTACAGACGAACGGGAATTGACACAAAAATTAAAAGATTTTGTATTTACCATGGTACTTCAATATGCATAAGATATACAGAAGTAAACTGAATTTAATGTACTAGTAATTAATGAATTAGCCATAATTGTCAACGACATGAAGCAACCATTACGCCAAAACATATATCATTAAAGTAAGAAGATATGATATAATTGCTAATGAGACAACTCTTTACCCGAGACCAAATGCCATAGAAGTTAACAACCATAGGTCTATGTACGGCCTTCAACAATCTGCAAAACTCATACCGCAAAGTCAGCCATAAAAGTCCCTGAAATGACAAATGTAAAAAAAAAAAAACAAACGCAAAAACTAACGGCCTGATTTATGTAAAAACAATGAGCAAAATACAAATATGATATACAGAAACAAACGACAACCACAGAATTACAGGCTCCTGACTTGGGAAAGGCACATAATGTGGCGGGGTTAACCATGTAAGGAGGCTCCAAACCCTCCACTAACATGGGAAAGTGGTGTTACATTACAACACATGAGCAAACTCATCAAATCGATACAAAGCAGAAAGACAAGTAACAAAAACGGACGTACCAGGGTGTTTATACATCCCCACAACAAAACAGTCACTAAGTACAGATTTGAGAGTATTCGCAGCTACTGACGGCTATTTCAATGCAAATTACAGCTAATAAAAACATAACGTATCTAAGACTTAAACATCAATGAGAACATATTCAACATCAAATGAATTTTGTGAAGACATCATTCACAGTCATGACATATGTCAATGCCAAAATACAGGTATCGACAAATTGTAGAACCGTGAATGTGTTTACAAGGGACTCTATGTGTAGAAAACGAAAAAGACCCAATACAGGACAAATACAGAATGATATACAAGTTCTTAATAAAACAATAGAAGTGGGTAGGGATAAAATATAGTAAAAGAAATAGAACATTAATATAATGGAATATTGAGTCAGCTCTCTCACAAAAAAAAAAAAAAACAAAAAAAACCTAGCTGTAAAATACGAGGGCACAAACTGCAGGCACGGGGACACATTCTACTGCATCTACACAGCAAGAGTTACAAACCCTGCAGTAAATATAATAATAAAAAGATCTGGTTTAATTGCCAATGAGACAACTCTCCACAATTAAGAGACAAAATTACATAGAAGTTAACAACTACAGGTCTCCGTACGGCCTTCAACAATGAGCAAAACCATACCACATAGTCAGCTATAAAAGGCCCGGAAATGACAAATGTAAAACAAATGTCTTATTTTGGAAAATGAAGAAATGTGCAAATATTGACACAGTTTTTTGTTCTTGCAAAAATGCTTTGACGAAACATCAACAACATTAAGGAGAACAATGTTGATGCAATATTAAAAAGTTATATATTTGTGTAATATTTGCATCACTGTTCACTGTAACCTGCATACACATTATAATATACCATTATACTTTTTTTTCAAAACATGGCATGCATATATGAATTTACAGTTAACTTTGACATTCATTTGTAATGATTATTACTGTAGACGCCATAAAAGTAAAGTCCAGTTTGAGTACCACCAATTCCTTTGCAGTAGCCTTGGATCCACAGATCACAGACTCTTGTGGTGTTTCGGAATCAATTACATTAAGGATCATCGTAGAAAACGAGGTAAATTAAAACAGATAGAAATTTTAACCGAGGATTCAATCATCAATAAAAAGATGAAAACGAACAAACAGAACAATAGACAGAAGAAAACAAACGATAAAGAATACCCCCCCCCCTTTCCAAACCGAAACAAAACACCGATTGCGATTGCGAAACACAAACCTAACATAGATTGCACATGGATTAAAATAGATTTTCCATTAGCATGTTTAGGACGAGAAAGGTATTATCATTTCAGTATATACCCTACGATCTGCGAAACACAAACCTGAGATAAATCGAACATGGATTAGATTTTCCATTAGGACGAGAAAGCTATTATCATTTCAGTATACCTTACGATCAAGTTTAGTCATTTCTGAAAATACCCCCTGCTTGCTTGTTTATTTATAGATTAAGTGGTTGTTGCTTCATTGCCATTCATTGGTTCTACTTCATGCATCTTCAGGATGACAACAAAATTAACAATATCTCAAAAAGTTAGGTTCTGTAAAATGTGGGAATTTTCTGTCACCTGATAATTCTGATCAGTAAAATCAATTTGGGTATTGATGTTCCCGGTTAGAAATAAAATGTTTTACACAATTTTGTACAAAATGAAATAACAATTTAAAGTATTAACTTGCTGTTGACGTCTAATTGTGTCACATTCTTATGTTATGTCAGAAAATCGTAATATCTTAACACTTGGATGTAGCATACACATAACATAAACTCGAATATGTCAGCATCTCGGAACACTGATATAATGCGTTAATATTTCCACATGCTAAGGAGATACACATGTAAATGATATCGAGATCGCAAGAGTTTAAAACTATAAAAATAAATTTTGTAATTTATTGTCCATTTTTCAAATTGAAGATGATTCCAATGTGATGAAACGAAAATTGGTACACCACCAGCTGTCAGCTTTACTATTTAATTAATGAAAAAAAAATAATTACTTTTTTACTTCAATCAATAATAATACTAAACGTAGGAGTAGTACTTTGAGTAACATGAGTGTTAAAGAAACAAATAAATGGTTGATTAATTTGTATATGTTTGTTTGAATTTTTTTGTCAGTTGTGTTGTAAATGTTGTATGTCTGTGAGGTATGTTTACACAGTTTGACTGCTGGATCCAAATTATTGTCATATTAAACTATAACGCCTGTTTGGTGGCTTAACCAGTTTTGTCAATATAACGAAACTATAAACAACTGTCATACAAGTTGGAGGTTTAGCTAGCTATAAAACTAGGATTAACCCACCATTTTCTTCGAAAAATGCCTGTACCAAGTACAGAGTACGGCAGTAGTCTTTTTCAAACTTATTCCATTGATTGATGGCGTTTGATTTTGCCAGTTTTTATGGACTTCCCCTTTTTGAATTTGTCTTGGAGTTTAGTATTTTTGTTATACTTTTTATTCTCGGAAGGTAATTAGTATAACATTTTTGTCAGCATCAAACATATTTCTTTTTTTAGAAACCAATCATCACCTCGTTGCCAACGTCTGTTGAAATCAGTGAGAACAATGAAGTTGAAACGCTCCTACATACAATAACCGCTGTAGATGGAGAGACTTTGACATGCGAACTTCATAGTGTTCTCCCATTTAGTAACGATACAGTATTTGAGGTTAAACAAACATCAACTCCCGGAGGTGTGTATTTAATAGAGGATTATTTTGGAATATTTCATTGTATGAACAAAAGTGTATCGGAAGAAGAAAGGTTTAAGGACTACGATACGCACTGAGGCATTGACATTTTAACCAATTATTGAATGCTGGTACAATATAAAAAAAAAGATCTTTCACATTGTGTTATTCTTCGAATACATTCAAACAAATATAAACGCAATTCAATAACTAAAATTAAACTTTCCATTTATATGAGCAGATTCTTTTATATAAATGGACACCAACTACATGTTTTGCAGTCATACCAGATAGAATAGTCACATCTGTAATTTTACCATATATGTTCCGTTCCCGAATGTAACATTTTGACTGAGTGTGGATTCGCATGACGGGATTTGCATTGATAGCAGAAAACGCTCACCCTGTCCACGCATCAGGCTTCTCTCCTTTTGGAGTTCATTGTATTCCCTCAGTTTTTGGTCGTTACATTAATTTTTCTTTTCGGTTGATTTATGAGAAACTACTGTTTACTTATTTGTTGTCCTCAATGGCTCCACATTCACTTTAAGTTAATGGCGGGCAAGCTTTTTCAGGTACATTGAAATATGACAGATAAAACAAAACCGATTTTGCATGGTATTCCATTCTTTTCACAGATTTCTAAAATGAATCATCTTTGATTAAACAACAAATGAAATATTTTGAATGCGCCAACTCAAATAATAATATAATCAAGGGTTTTCTTCTGAATTTGCGAAGAACCTTAAAATCAGAACTCTTTCAACATGTCTCTTGACTTTCTACATAGCTACATGTATAAATGAAACAACAAGATTTGGGAAGTCATTCAATAATGAAATGTAAACACTAAAATTTTTTTTTATCCATTCTCCATTATTAGGTTGATTTATAAAAATGTACTTGAATGAAGTCAAATTTAATTTTCAGTCATGTTTATTTTTGTAGAATATGGCATATACTATGTATATATACCAAGAAACAGAAGCCTTGATTATGACAGTGTAGTAAGATATGACGTCAGTGTCACGTGTACAGATGGAAGACAACCATCAGATGAAGGACACTTAATGGTTTATGTAATAAAAAACATACCACCCGAATTTACAGATCTTCCACGTAAGAATTTATCTATCTTAACCAGAAACGTTTCTTTAAATAAAAATAAATTGCAGACAAAACTACCGATATATTCAATAGACAGAATATTCATAATTTGGTTTTTCTTCGTGATGACTCTGATCCACGTCTGGCGTACACAGTTATAAACCTGGTAACTTTGATGAGTGTTTTTATAGTTTTATGTTTATTCAAACGTCGTTTGTGTTTTGTTATTGTTCTCTTTTTGTGTTTACTTGTATTTAATTTTTTCATGTTCTTTATCATGTGAATGAAATATATAGTTTGGTAAACGCCAATGAGATAGCAACCCCGCAACATAAGTAAAAATAAATCTATGTAGAAGTTTCTTCAAAATTGACAGGTATAACTAAACAGTTTGGGGAAGTCATATAAACGACTGTCATACAAGTAAAATGTTTAGCTAGCTGTAAACATGACATGCATGATAAAACCAGGTTTAATCCACCATTTTCTACATGAGAAAATGTCCGTACAAAGTCAGGAATATGACAGTTATTTTCCATTCGTTTAATGTGTTTGAGCTTTTGATTTTACCATTTGATAAAGGACGTTCCGTTTTGAACTTTCCTTGGAGTTCGCTATTTTTGTTAATTTACTTTTAATAGAACCTTCTATTTCTAAAGATAACATGGATAATCATTGAAAGAAGTAAAAAATAATGAACTCTTTGTACATAATGGTATTTTAAAAAAATACCTCCTTGTAAAGGTTAAAAAAATAAAGTTGAAATTCAACCATCCTGCTTCGTTTTTTTTTTTATTTTTAAGTTCATATGATAACCATGACAACTTTCTCTGCTTAAGTAAAATGCAATTTTTCTGCAATTAGATATTACCCCCAAAAATGGTACTAAATTCACTATTAACTCTGCAAGATGCTTAAGTTCACGACTCGTATGCGATATTATACTGTACACGTACAATAGTGATACAGGTACCAAATGGGAGAATCATTCGTCATTCTTGTTATTCCTGTCATAGTTTCTGTGCATGTCATTACTTCACATTTTCCAGCATATAACTGAATTTTATATTAATTATATATACATGTAGGAAATAATTAATACTTGTTATGTTATTGATAAAATTTCAAAGTAAAAATCCTTCTAAAATGGTAAACCTTTTTAAAGGAATTAGAACAATGATATCGATCATTAGTTTAGTGTGAATAATAAATAAAATCATTAGACATAATATCGTATATACATTTTATATCTAGGTGAGGAGATCCTGCCTCAACAGTCAACAAGTTCTGGTTTTATCGTTCCTATTGTTGTGACTGACGCCGATACTGCTACGACGTCACTGTCATATGCAATCACGTGTGAGCCTTCTGCGTCATGTCCTTTCTCTCGGACAACAAGTAGGTATTTTAAGACTTAGAGTAAAATGAAAATATTGATAGGTCGGTTATTGGTTTAGGTTCTTTTTGGTCATATTGCTCTGTACGTTCTTTTTATTTGATCATTCACGGTTTTCAAATGTTTAGCTTAGACGTTCCTTATGAAAATTAATCTAAAAAGCACTAAAATTATACAGTGTAACTTTCATTTCATAAACCTAATGTTAAATCTCATGTTAATTAAGAGACGTATAATGTAAGTTTACTTTATTTCGCGGATACTTATCGCGTTTTTGTCCTCTGTATCCAGTTTGAATGATTTACTATCGCAGTTTTCCAAATTGTTGGTGTAATATATAAGTGAAGGTCCTAGTTTGACAAATGAGTAGTAAGATTCAAAGGACATGGTATAATAAGGGGTATTTTTTGCCCCGTCTCCAAATAAGTTTATAATCATATCATTGATAGTCTTTGTACAGAAGCTTGATAAAACAATGATTTTTTTTATTATCCGATTAAAAGAAGGTTGCCTAGCTACAGATTTTGTAAAATAGTAAAATGATCACGTATTCCTTGCTTTATCAGTATAAACTACCGCAATTGCAAAATAAGATTGTCTTTTTTAAGAATACATTAAAGTTACAAATGAGAATCCAGTTCATCGTTAGTTCACTAAATGCATACCAACGATATAGCAACCGAAATATTCCCTAGCAACGGTTACAAAAATGCTTCTATTTCCTATATTTGAACTATGAATTAAGTAATCTCTGAACAATGTGCCTACATTTTTGTTGTTACACTGTAATATGAATATCTAAATCGTCATTCTTTTTTTATGAAGTACGTATTGAACCTAGCAACACACATGTTGCTTAGTTACAGCTTAAATCGTTTCAGTTAAAGACACATACAAGTGAAGCAATCATATTGGTGTACAAATAAGTATAAACGCAAATTAGACTGATTGTACCAGGATAACTAACTGTAAGAAATGAAATGTCAGTCCAATTTTAGTTCATATAGTTTACTAAATGCTTTTGAACAATCTTACAACAGCAATATTGCTTAACAACGGTTAAAACATTGTTCTGATTTGTATCTAGAGCAACCTTTGGAAAATAAGCTTTCATCTATGGTGTTACACTTTAATATACATATCTTACTAATCAATATTCATTAGACGAAGTTCAAATTGAACCTAGCAACATAAATGTTGCTTGGAAACTGCTATAAAAGATAAGTATTTGTCAAAGTTATCGTATTTGAAATATTATCAGTAACGTTGAACGAATGTTGAAAGATATACAAGAGTCGAGTAAATGTCAAGATGGTCTACAATCGTGTTGATGTCGAATTTCTTCTCTAAACATCACCAAATTGTATAATTTTTGGCACTTTCCGTCATTCATAGTCTTTTAAGGATATAGTTAGGTGAAATTAAAAACATCTAGAATTTAGAATTGATACTATAAGTCAGAAAAGCCTTAGTTAAGGAACAAAATAGGCTAAAATATTGATAGGTTATGGAACTCCGTTTTGAGATATTTGATATTTAAAAAATTGCGGGAAAAGGCTGACTCGGACTTTTACATTATTGAGCATTGGCATTATTTGGGTCTCAAATCGCAAGTAAAAAAAAATCCAGAATCTGCTTAAATTTTGGCAATGACCTTTTTATGAGCTATTGAAGTCTTCTAAAAAAGGTGAGTGATATGGGGCAAATTATTTTGCCCTGTATCATAGGAAAAAACCCAAAGAGTCCGAACATCTGACAAAAATTCTTAACCTGACCTGAGATCATTCTTAAAGACCCAGTTGGCACAGAAATTAACACATAATACAGATAAAAAAAGATACTACATGAACGACCAGTTTCTACAGATCATTTCACATGCAGAATTTCGTACCTTGTCATTTGCATTATTTTGATTTTCGTAAACAAAATATCGGTGAAATAAATCTCTCGCGACACATAAGTTGGGTTTTAATTTATTTTCATACTCATAAAGATTTTCTAAAAAATAAATGATCGATTGATCAGTGGCCAGATCGTTTTCTTTATAATTTAATTTTACCCTCAAGGTGTAATACCACCAAATCATAGTACGTCACATCCGGTTGCATACGAAAATAGGTCGAAAAAAATATTCCCTTGAATTTGACAGTTGTAGGTAATTGATCCTACATTTCATTGCAGTAAAAAATTTCTTGGTCATAAACATATATCTTGGGTATTTCAAAGCACCATTATTTTTTTATTTGGGGTTTCTGTAGAATACTTTGGAAACTTGAGGTTACATGGTTACTAAAGCTTGTACACAGGTTAAAAAAGGGGGAAATTTGATTGGTTAACTTCCAGTGATGGTTATTTTCTTTTTTTTTTTATAATTTATTATTTTTCTTCATGAATTTACAGGTATCAACATATATTTATCTTGTGGTACAATAATCAAGCAAGTGAAATAAATAAGCATGATAAGCATTCTATGGACTAACACTATGAAATCTATGAATGAAGTATAGTAATAACATTTTCATTAATATAGTAATAATAGTAATAGTAGAGAAAGCATATGGTATAACTACCAGTATACAAGTTCTTTCAAATACTCATATATATACACATATGTATATACATTAACCTAATTTAAATTTAATTAATGATCTTAGCCCAGGGGTTCCAGTACAAGTTGTGTTCTTCCATACTTAAATATTTTGAAGAAATATGTTTCTCTAAAATCAAGTTTTCTTTTATGTAATTTTGAAGACCTTTAATATGAGGTTTTATGTCTTGCATCTTACATCTTTGATGGTTATTTTCTTATATGCAATGAAATGTTATGTAAAATTTTTGTATAGTACTGGACAGGATAAAACTTTACTCATGCCAAGTATTTCTTTATTTGAAACAAAGATAAATTCTGCACAATGTTTTGAAAAGTGCAAATTTAACAAAGACTAATAGGGGAAAATCAATGGTGGTATAACACCTAATATGGGAAGCTGTACATGCACCTTTGACCTTGTGAGTACTCTCATGTGTTAAAATGTCTTGCTATTTAAGTGAAATATTACAAATTATGAAATATTCTGAGTGGATTGAGTCTCCAAAACACATTTTATTAGAAAATTTCCTTGAAATAGGACTTTACCATAAATATTAGTTGACAGAACAAGCCATACTTAAAGTTTTGGGAAGCTTTTTCTCCTAATTTCTTATATTCTGCTATATAGAAATTTTTCCTAAGAAATACTTTAATAAATATATAGTTTTAAGTAAATGATATTATTTTTAAAGCAGTTACAACAAATTATTCACCAAAAGAGAAGCGTTTTATGTCCCTCTTTGGAATACGGCGTAAATTTAAGTTTTACGTAAGGACTTATTGAAACCTCCTTGGAGACAGTAAACTTTTATACGGATAGTTCATTCAGCTTGAATACTTCAATTAATCATTTATTATAACATTTCTATCATAAATGAGTGAAAATTACCCCAAAATTTTTATTTATTGGCCTAAAAGTAGAAATTTTGAGGAAATGAGAGGTATAAATGGACCAAAAGAGACCTTATAAGCATGACAAAGAGGTCCATTAGTAGTATTTATCATCCTAAAGTCATCTTTTGTATCATATTCAACTGTTTGTAGGCAGATGTGATAAATATTTGATCATTTATTGGTCCACACTATATTCTATCATGATGCGGCTTGGTTTGGATTTTTCGAAGAAATTTTGCTCGAATCGCTGTAGATGTCGTCTTACATCATACTAGGTTTTTCTCAAACTATTGAACTGATTATGACAAAACTTGACAGGAATGCCTGAAATAACCAGTATTACAAAGGAAAAAAGTCACATTCAGTTTATTTAACAAAAAAGTCTTCTTTAAAACAATGATTGAGGAAGGTACCGAAATATATATCATATGTATGTTCAATTGCATTTTGCTATAATCCGATTACTTTCTTAATTGGATAAAATATTTCAAACTTATTTGATCATGTTGATAATTGAGACATTGATGATAACAACTATTGCACACATTTTTTCCAAATAAAAAAAAAAACAAGGATACAACTATTTTTTATTTAGTATGATTTTGTATGAATAGTAAACACAATGCATAGATTGTATCTATTGTTTATCGTGACAATAAAGAACGAGCCTTCACATTGACGTTGTAGATCCAACAAAATATTGCATGGGTTAAATGTGTTTAAGAATGGGGATGGACAATAATAAAAAAAAAATTGATTCAAAGGAATTTAGATCCTACAACATGAAACAAGTATAAAACGATCGTCAAAAATAAACTTACAACGATTTATTCAACTGCCTTGTTTCGGTCAATCTTTAGTTCTTATAAAATCATCAATTAGATACATAAAACCAATTTTAATATTTAAACACAAAACGAAAAATTCAAGAATTATTTTTTTGTATATTTTTTCTCCCTTTCAAACACTCATGTTTTATTTCAAGCACATAATAAACTGAAAAGATGTTGTCAAGATGTTCATGTATTTATTATCTTTTATTTCAAGCATCAACAGGAGCAGATATAAAAACCACTGTTGATTTTTCCACTATACAAGTACCTGCTTTTGATATCCATGTTACAGTGAATGATGGAGATACTACAGTGGGACCAAAGGTCCTAAGCATTTATGTAGAAAGTAAGATGTTTGATTTGGACAAATTACATATATATATATATTCTGGTGCCATTTGTGAATCTTGTGAAGAAAAAAACGCGTTTCTTGGGTACCAGAGTATAGCTGGCATCTCTGATGAGTTTTTACAATCGAATTGAAACTAGAAAAAGAATTGCAATAGGGTTATGCTGAGCAAAAAAAAGTGTGCATTCTTGTTGTGACTTACATTTAGAAAAGCATTCGAGATTTAACGAGTTTTATATTAAGTGTTGCTCCTCTAGTTTTTGAATTTCGGCCAGATTTTCGAAATCCTCTGATTTTATCCATGTATTGCCGTTAAAAAATTTTGCCCACTAACCCCTACTTTTCTTTTCATGATTTTATTACATAGTTTAAAAGGCCATATTTGAAAATCTTATAAAATCCTTGTTATTTTTTCATAGTTTTTGAAACAAAAAAGCGGCCAATGTTTAAAGTATGAAAAATCTAGAGAGAATTATTTCCCGCCAAATTTAAATGGCTTTTATCTCGAAAACAAGCACAGGGACCCTTCATTTTTTTCTGCTTTTTTAGTTCCTTTATTCATATATATAACATTTTAGAACAGTCTTTTGAAAATCTTGTTATTTTGAAACAGAGTAGCGAACATCCTTAAGATCATTGTTCAGTTTTCAATTCTCCTGAGTAGTGTATAATGAACTATAGTCTTCTAATGTCTTTTAATTGATGTTGTTTTTTCTTTGATTTATAATAATTTTTTATGTTATTGTACTTTCTTCAAATAAAGCTTGAGCATCCATAGCAATTTTATTTTATTGTTTGATCACTTTATATTTCAAATTTTCATTCTTTCAGACATTAACGATATTCCGGTATTCGCCAATGCTGAATCAGACTTGAAAATCGGGGTAGAAGAAAATACCGCCATAGATACACTTTTATATACATATTTTACAACAGATCTTGATTCTGTGGACGTCGTTACATATTCCTGGACACCGACTACGAACACTTACTTTGATATAGATTCAGCAAGTAAGTATAATATAAAAAGCATTATTTTATCAATGAAAATCACCCTCTTAATTCATCTTACCGCATTTGGCTTAAATCTTTTGATACACTGATATTGAAAAAAGTTAATTTATAACCTTATAAATATTCCTAAAAAAAATGACTTTATGAATGAGAAGTGAGTCAAATATTACTCATTCTGATAAAAATTTATAGCATGGTATGACTCGTTTGTATTTGAACACCTTACCATATCAGGGGAAATTCACTTAGTTAGAAAAAAAAAACTGCTAGCAAATGTCTCACCGTTGTCTTTATTTTGCTACCTTTGTGACTGAATGAAAAACCTACTGTCATAACATTTCTTTTTTTTTCAGGTGGACAGATTTCAACAATCGCGATATTTGACTACGACAATCTCTTCTATGTAGGGTCTGATACTGAATTTAAGTTCGTTGTTAAAGCCACGGATACTAAAGACACTGCAACAACAACTGTCACTATCTCTATTGTAAATGTGAACGATGTTCCAACACTCAGTAATACACATTACGTTATAAATGATACTGAGAACTTGGTAAGTTCAAAAATGTTTACTTCATGGCAATAATTTTTACCATTTAATACAGTGCAAGTTCTAAAAGCATATATGTAGATGCTTTAATGTAACTTTTTTACATTTTCCCGTATTATATATGCTCTTAAACGTTTAATATTTTGGTTTGCAATATTTTTTGGTTTTGTTTGTTCCTCTGGAAACACCTGTCGCAATCACGAACAATGATATTATACTTTTCCCTTATGCATTTAAATATCATACGGTTATAACGGTTATAAGAGAATCGTTTTAACACACAAACGCTGCATTATCTCTGTGTTTAACTTAGTGTGTCTAAATAGCAATATTGTTTGTATTTAAGTGATCAGCAAACTAGTTTACTAATTATTAAATTCAATGTCTGGTAAGTTTATAAAGACTATTAATGTTGATGACTAGACTATTATTGAGAAGTCCATAATATCGTCTCAAATTTAACCCAACAATATTATATCATCAAATTTGCTCACGTAAATTTTTGTTCTTCCCTAAGCAGGATTCAAACCCTTGCGTCTGTGACATCGTCGCAACACCGCCCGCACCGTGTCCAGCGCCCTAGACCACTCGACCACCTAGTCTACATAAAAATATAGCTTTCGGTGGTCGATATAATGCCTTTCCTCGTCGGCTTTATCTAGGGTTGTTACACAGTACATGATGTATATTGGTTAATAGATGGTGTACTTTTCAGATCAGCCTTTCGTCTGTCGTAAAGGATGATTATGTTAATTACCATGCCGCCACATCAAGTTTTGATTTTATTATACACGTCTTAACATGTGACAACTTTAAGACAGACATTCTCCATCGGATAACACGTGGTTATACATGACTAAAACCATATATATAATTCGTCTCAAATTTAGCTAAAAAATGTTAAATATATATATATATATCAAGTACACCTACACACAACTGTTATGGAAGGAATAATTCATGTAAAAATTGGCCCGGTTAGTCCCAGAGGGTATCGCCAGCCAAAGAATCAGTACCAAGGTACTGGCATAAAAATACGGATATTGTGTAATTGAAATTTTCTTATACAAAAGTTTAGAAATTTGCAAATATTTTGGCCCCGAGAATCACCGAAGAGATATTAATTGTCGAAATGCGCATCGGGGGCAGTATAATTGGTACTTTTTATGTTATTTCATTGTATATCTGACACCACGGAACTGCTTATTTGCACATCCTTTCACATTACATTGAGATGTTACTACTTGGAATGGGAAGTTGACAATAGGAAATCTGAAATCATAACGTTTATGGTAGATCCTGGTTTGTAGTCGTACATATGTGTATATATATGAAAAAAATATCCAGATACGAAGCAGATCTTCTGGTATCCGTTGTCACTTAAATTCTTAGTTCACTTGGATATATGAGATGGAAACAATCATGAACATTTGGATTGTTGAGTGACACGAGAACTCTGATATATCTGAATGTGAAATTAGAAATATAATATAAAGAAAAATGTAATCTATGAAGCAAAATTATAGATACTTTAAAAAATACTATTTCTCCGTAATATATGGTCAACTTAAAACCTGGGTTTTTTCAAGGGTGATACAAAACCTCTACACGCACTTGGCACAACCTAAAGCAAAAATTGAACAGCCTTATTGTTGCTATTCTTCAATTTAAAGCCACAATTATATCTTTAACACTGATTAAAAACTAGCAGCACATTGTAATATTAAACCACTTACAAAAATCAGTTTGAGCGTCACTTTTTTCCATTGTTGATGATGCTACAACTGAAAATTGATGATAACAGATGCTGGATGATATCGAATAACATAAGAAACAAAGACATCACATATAAACAATCTCACTGTCAAAAAGAAAAAAACAATACAAACATTTACTCACCATGGACACCATCAATGTATTTATTATATTGATTGACTTTCAGGACTCATAGCTATATCGTGGGGGCCAGTTTTTATTGGCGGTGGAAACCAGAGTGCCCAGAGAGAACCACCGACCTTCGAAAGGAAACTTGCAATCGTAATCAATTAAGATTGGAGTCGAATGCACCTGCCACGTGCCACGTGCGAGAACTCACAACCTTAGTGTTGATAATCTAGTGATGCAGTAGATGAACTACTTAGACCAGTGTATTTGTAAGATGACTTACAGGAAATCTATATGAATTGAGCAAATAACACAGAGAGGCACAAAAATCTCGAGAAAAACATAAACGAGAACACAGAGGCCATAATTGCTAATTCGTGTAGCACAAAAGCAACTTTTGCGGTCTCCACACATTTCAAAAGAGACAAAATATTATTGTAAAGTGAATGTTAACATAGATTTCTCATGCATTTATAATATCATATCCAGCATTTACTAGTATTAATTCATTTATTTGTTTTATATTATTAGCAGCAATATTTGTTGTCCCCTAAATCAGATCGTTATTACTGTAAAGGTCAAGTGAAGTAGGGGCATATATTAAAAATTATATACGTTATATTGATTGGTTGACTGTTAGATAATTATGTCGGTACAATATAATTAAGACAATTTCAATTCCAGGGAGAAACACTTCTTTCATCACCTAATATTGATGCATCAGATCCAGAAAATGAAACTTTAAGATACACGTTGGACTGTAATGGATATAATACAACATATTTTGAAATGGATGAAAGTACAGGCGATGTTTATTTTGGAAGAGATTTTGATTCGGATATTGGTCACCCACCGGTCACTGAATGCAATGTTACCGTAACGGATCCAGGAGGTTTGACAGACACAGCATTTTTAACCATAAACATAGCAGACACTAATGACTTTACACCAGAATTTGAGCGAGATTTCTACAATGTATTCTTATTTCCAACTGAGGATATTGGAACGATACTAATAAATGTCTCGGCATCAGATGGGGACATTACAGAAACTTGGAATATAATATCCTACGGCATGGATCAATCAGGTTTAGGGAATAGCTATTTCAATATCGATGAAAATGGAACAATATCTGTAGCAATGGATATTTCTGCAGCCTTTGATTATGGCCAGACAGTGATCTTGACTTTGAGTGCAACTGATGGTGGAGGACTGCAGGGATTTGCTACCTTGTCATTGATCTTCCCAGAGGTAATGAAAAGAGATAAGTTCAGTTCTAAACAAAAATCTGTCTTAACTTTAATTAAACGGATTCCAACATTAAATACAAATATTTAGTTACTACGATTATCGATAGAATAGATATTTCATGAAATAACACAAAAATAGAAGACCAATTGAAGGGATTAAGATATTAAATGTTATATATTCCCGACTTATAAATCAGTTGAAATATTGCATTGTTAAATTAGTACAAACAGAGGATAACAGAAATCATTAAAATACCGAACTGCACAACATATCACGACAATCAATAGTACCCGACTTCTTCCCCGAAAAATATATCAAACATGCAAACAGCGATAAAACAAAATCTTTTTGTTTTAAATCCAAGGAAACATATGTTTATATAAACAAACTGTTCGTCCACTGAAAATCGAAATACCGTATAAAGAATCAATCTTTTCACAATGATGCTAATTTTATCCATAAATAATGTCCTGACTACCAAAATATAGCTTATGAATCTGTAAACACTGGTTAAGTAACTTTGGTGGCAAAAAGAAAAAGCACCTTGTTAAATTCTTTTTATATCAGAATGAGATATATTTATGATGCCCTTTTACTCAATAACACGTCCTCCCTTTCAGTAAGAACTTTTTCATGGTGAACTTCTCATTTTCGAAAGTAACATACCATCTGCTACATCGTATGATGTTAACATATTTCAATTGATACTTATGCACGGGCATATTTAGATTACACGTACTACATAATCAGGTGTCTCCTCATAACATAAAACTGCTGCTATGATTCAAAACGGCTGAATTCGGCACAACATACGATTTACGTTTACCATAACGAAATAGTTGACCGATACGATATATCTATGTCTCATCCAACACGTTACATATTTCGAGGACTTAGATACTAAGATATTCAGTCTTTGGTTTTTCTATGATATGGTTGTATATTCTGTTGTTTGTCTTTTGAACTTTTTTATTTGTTTGCCATGTCATTGTAAGTTTATGACTAATGAGTCTGAATTTCCCTTTGGTATCTTTCGCCTCTCTTTTGGATACCCGAATAGCCAATTATGGCCTTTTTTATATTTTTACATTTTTACTAAGTGTAGATTAGCGTAACGAATGAGCCGCTTATCCTGACGAAACACCCTATCTCGCACTGTTTTGAATAAATGCTATTCACTGAGGTTTTTTTTAAGAAAATAAGTCTGAAGTTTCGCTTATTCGATTTAAGTATTGTATAAAATTACTTCCTAGTTTTATAAAAATAATAAGACCCACACTTTTGTGATCAAACAATAACCAGAAAAAAAGTTAAGCATTTGTCATATAATCCATAAAATATCTAGGCTGGCATAGTTATTAGGTAATCCGGAAGTGACCAGAATCAGGAACTTGAAATCACAACATTTCAATTTTTTTTTATTTTGTATGCATGTTATGAATTCAGATTCTAAGCAAAAGTTGTCGACGTATGTTTATGTTTAATGAATGTATCTTAATTGTATTAGCAACAACATTGCTGTAGCAAAATAACGAAGGTATATACATATATGACAAATATGACGGAATACATGATCTTCCAATAAGTGCTTTTTCCCGGTAAAATTTGGCTGCACAAAGGAAATATCTTCAGGTTACAATTTCCTATGACGCAGTTTTCCCCATTGACCTCTGGTCAACTGGAATATTTCATTCAGAAAATCGAAATTGGAAGCTCATTTATACAGAGAACAATTAAATTATACAGACTTGTTATTACGCATACCTTATATAACTGTTAATCTGTGATCTTAATGTCCATGTCGGCGTTATATAGTTGAATAGTTTCTTTGATAAGCATTTTTGCAAAGCTTGTAACAAAAAAGGAGAAGGTTCTCAATTTTTGAGTTTCCCTCGGAGTGATGTATTTTTGTTATACTTTTTTTCAATAAGTCCCTTACATGGCCAATATTTCTAGCTACAATTTAAGGTAAGAATTTATTGACAGATATCACAATGAATCATAGCTAATCCATTGACATGATAGGAAATATGTCTTTTTGTTAAAAATGATTTACGTACTTGCGTTTTCATGAAGTCACAGGCACTCATTTTGATTTTTCACGAAAATTCACTGGAAACTGGTAAATTTCTATTGACTTTTGTCGAGCCTGTGACTTTTGTCGCAAAAGCGAGACATAGCAATCCTACATTACGTCGTCGGCGTCGTCGGCGTCGTCGACGGCGTCCACAAATATTCACTCTGTGGTCAAATTTTTTTAAATTTTAATTACTTTCTTAAACTCTCCTGAATTTCTACCAAACTTGGACAGAAGCTTGTTTATGATCATAAGATAGTATCCTGAAGTAAATTTTGTAAACAAAATCCTGTTTATCCGTATTTTACTTATAAATTGACTTAGTTTTTCTGCAAGCTAACATTACATTCACTCTGACCTTTTGCTACGAATGCTTCGCCGCGCACACATTTCATTGTCTCTTTTGTATACGTTTGTTTCTGTATTTTGTGTTGCAGAATATTCATTTTGGTCCTATCTTGTGTAAAGTTATTTATTTTCAGTTCTTACCACGACAGTTATTTTCAAAATCTTCCTGCCCCCACCCCTACCCTGCTCCATAACCCCACCACGAAAAATAAAACCCAAAACAGCTGGTCGTCCCCTTTCAACGTTGTAAGTTGCTTTTAACGTAAAAAAAGTTCTCACATTGTTGCATTATATGTTTCAGACAACTACAACATCTACGACTACTACCGAGCGTCCGTTCAAGACTGAAACGTACCCCGACAATGGGTACTGGTATCTTTTTGCAGGGATAGTTCTGATGATGAATACAGTCTTGATTATTAACCTGTGCATGAAATATTGCAGACCTTGTACAGAGTAAGTAATTGTTTTTTTTGGTCGAGATTTCAGAGTATCTTTTAAATGATTGTTATTACTGATACTACTATTATAGACTTCCACTTTGAAATATTAAAAGCACTGCGAGAATTAAAAGCAAGATCATTCCAAAGCATTGAAGTGAATATAGAATGCAGGAAATATAGGTTCTAGTGATGATATGCTCATTTTCACTGTGATGGTTGAAGTCCCAAAATATTATCAAAGATACATTGCTTATGATTTGGTACGACAGACTCGTGTGACGTCTACATAAGACTTATCAGTGTCATTTAAAACAAAACAATTGGAAAGTCAAATTGAATACAAAGTTGAAGAGCATTAAAAACCAAAAGATCCGAAAATTTATGCCAAATAAGACTAAGGTAATTAATGCGTGAGAGAATACAAATCTAAGTGTTTCGAACAATTCGAACTTTTATAAACAGTAAATATACAGAAAATATATCGTATAAGTGTATATATTCTTCAAATTGTGGTCAGGGGCGGACTTTATGAAACCTCAGATAATGTTTTCTGTACTTACATTTATGCACAGACGTCTGATATTACAGTCTTGTGTGTTTTTTCTTATTAAACAAGATCAGTTATTTTTTTTTCTCGTAGCATTGACAAAAGAACAGAATCGCAGAAGAGAGATGATAGAATAAAAGCTGCACAAGAAAGAAAAACTAAAGTCAGATCTGACTTTTTTTCAACGGACGATCCTTGGAGTGTGAATAGGTATCAAAGTAGAAAGGTGCCAGAGGTCAGTTGAATAATTTGCTGTAAAAGTATGAGTATTCCTGGAAAGAGGAATAAGAAGGGGGCAATTTGATAAATATAGAATTGAATGCTTGATTTAAAATGTATTTTGTTTGGTTGTACTGTTGGGCGTATTGTAATACTTAAAAAAAGAATTGTTACTACATTGAAATTTTGATCATTACATAAATGTTTAAATGTGTCAATTCAAAACGAAGCGATAAAAGAAATATACATGAAGATAGAAAAGTAAGTATTTTTATGCCCCAACTAGGGGCATTATGTTTTTCGTACTGTGCGTCCGTTCGTCCGTCCGTCTGTCCCGCTTCAGGTTAAAGTTTTTGGTTTAGGTAGTTTCTGATGAAGTTGAAGTCATATTAACTTGAAACTTAGTACACATGTTCTCTATGATATGATCTTACTAATTTTAATGCCAAATTAGAGTTGTGACCCCAATTTCACGGCCCACTGAACATATAAAATGATAGTGTGAGTAGAGCATCCGTGTACAATGGACACATTCTTGTTTGCATTTGCAAATTGAGTATTATTTTTGAGTCATCAAAGTAAAGTAGCAGCAGCAGTAATTTCTCGATGTTCCCATCTCATAAAATATTCATTATTATCAAGTACACATAGAAAATACGACAAAACACTGTTTGGTAAAGAGAAAGTCCTAGACAAAAAAATCAGTATCAAAATGTCTAATTGTACTAGTAATTGAAAGACAATTTTAACATCATTTTGTTTTAATTTTCCTTTAGTTTGAGAACAAATTTATTTATAATTTGATAAATTTGATAAATAAATGAAGCTGTGTCTTAGAACAAGTTCAACTGGTTTGGATAAGGTTTTTTATATGTTTTTTTTTAAATATTTTTCAGAAGCAGGACCCTGCTCCTGCAATAAACAGAAAAACTAAACGTAGTGACGAGAAATCAGTTAATAGTTTAGACCAAGCAAGCCAAGGAACTACAAATGCAAACAGATCGTCAATGGAATCATTTGACAGTTCAAGTACTTCTAAAAGTAAGCAATATGCAACCGTTATCTTTAACCATTACACGCACTAGACATGCATGCTAAGGCATTACAAAGAAAATCTGTTGATCCAGGTGCAATATCGTTCCTCAACCTTTCAATTATTGATATTAAGCTATCACTATACATCCAAAATATGGAATATGTATCAGTTAGAAAACAACCTTAATGTTCATCAAACATTAAAAACTAAACGATATCTAGCGAGGAGTCAACATACCTGCATACGGTGATAAACAGTAAAGACACAATGACAAAGTTAAATTCGACGACACTTTCATTTTAGTTACAAATAGCAACAATGGCTACTGTTGAATCAATTTTACAATTAACATGTATGTAATTTTCTAACAGGTCGAATTAAGAACTTGTAACATAATGTGTAAATTTTAGAGGATAGCATCAACTCCATAGTCAGTGCTTTGGTATTGACATAATTTATAACAAACTTTTCTTAAATTCTCCGTTGAAAAAAATATATATAAAGGAGCTAAGGTTCCAAATACCTCAGGATAAGTTGTCCTTAGAATAATTTGGCTATTATTTTAGGTCCCTTTCGGTCATATAACGCCTCACGTGCTTTTGTCGTATACATGCTGGGCTTTACAATGTTTAGGGTAAAGCGTTCCTGATAAAGGTAAATCTAGAAAATCGATACGGACGCACTAAATTAATAAAGTGTTATTTTTCATTAAGTAAAATGACCGGTATCTTGCTACGTTATGTGAGTTTGTAATAACAAAATTAATAACGCATGCAAAGAAGGAATTGTTTACTCTTTGTCGTCATTCGTCCCTGGTATTGCTTCTTGACATTGTAAGTACTTATATTGCGTTCGCTGTCTTGGCTGGCCGATGTGTTTATCTCTTTGTTGACTTATTATATAAGAAATAACGTACCTATGCGCATTTACATGTTTAACAATATAACGAATATTTCTAAAGATCGTATTCACCTAAATATTGAAATTGTTTTTTCTGTCTTTTAGATCTTTTTCCGTACAATCAACAATCACATCATATATTTAATCCTAAAACTGGTAGGACAGGTAAAAGGCATGTGGACCAAAAGTCTTTGTGGTGAAATATCATGTTGGCAACAGCAGTAGCAAAATACATTTTACTTCGCCGACTACGTTATTAATATCATTTTAATAAAATGTTTTAAAGAATTGTTGTTTAAAGCAAATGAATAAAAAGGTTTTACATTGAGGTTCTGAAAAAGAAATCACCAATTCACCACCATTCCAACTGACTCCATTTTCAGAAAACGAAATCTGTAACAAACATAAACTTTTAGCTTCCGCTTTACAAGCAGAACCAAATACAATGAAAGTCCCAACTATGTATTGGCTTCCGAAGCTACACAAAACACCTTACAAATATAGATTCATTTCGTCTTCAAGCCATTGTTCCACTACTAAATTGTCTATTCTTCTTACCAGTACACTTGGTACAATCAAAAACCTGATAATAAATTGTTCAAATAAGGCCTTCGAAAATAGTGGAATTAATTACTTTTGGAGTGTCAAGAACTCATTGGAAGTACTTTATAAATTACATGCATATATTGGTGATTTTGAATCTGTTCAAAGTTTTGATTTTTCTACCCTATATACCACATTGCCTCACATTCTCATTAAGAAAAAATTCACACACCTAATTAAATGGGCATTTAAAAAGTCAGAATGTGAATATATATGTTCAAACTCTTTTAGGTCATTTTTTAGTAGCAATAAACAAAAAAACTTTGTCAATTGGACATGCTTTGATACTATATATGCCCTTGAATTTTTACTAAATAACATTTTTGTTCGCTTTGGAGATTCCGTATATCGTCAGGTTATCGGAATTCCAATGGGGACTAACTGTGCACCACTCATTGCGGACCTTTTTTTGTATTGCTATGAGTTACAATTTATGACAAAAATCAGCAAAGACCCATCGAAACAACATCTGATACACAAATTTAATAATACTTTTAGATATTTGGATGATATTTTGGCTCTCAATAATGACGACTTCAGTATGAATACTAAAGAAATTTATCCTGTTGAACTTACTTTAAATAAAGCTAATACTAACAATGACCACTGCCCTTTCCTCGATCTTGATATCTATATCATTAACGGAAAGCTTTATACTAAAATATATAATAAAAGAGATGATTTTTCATTTCCTATCGTTAAATATCCATTTTTAGATGGTGACGTTTCCTTGTCACCATCTTACGGTGTTTATATATCTCAACTTGTACGATTCGCTCGTGTATGTAACAATGTTTTAGATTTTAACGAGAGAAATTTATGTATTACTGAAAAATTATTACACCAGGGTTTTCGATATCACAAACTAGTCAAAACATTTACTAAATTTTATCATCGGTATAAGGACATCATTCGTAAATATAGCTCAACATGCAGGCTTCTTACACGTTCAAGTATTTCACATCCAATTTTTTATGGATATATTTTTTATAAAGCACAAAAATGTCAGTATTCACCTCTGAAGCTAACAAAACCTTTAAATAGACTTATTAAGAAAGGATATAGTTACGATACTGTTGTCAGGTCATTAAAGATTGCATACAATGTAGCGAGAAATTCCAGCACCCGGAGGCGTCCTTCAGCTGGCCCCTAAACAAATATATATACTAGTTCAGTGATAATGAACGCCATACTAAACTCCAAATTGTACACAAGAAACTAAAATTAAAAATAATACAAGACTAACAAAGGCTAGAGGCTCCTGACTTGGGACAGGCGCAAAAAATGCGGCGGGGTTAAACATGTTTATGAGATCTCAACCCTCCCCCTATACCTCTTGCCAATGTAGAAAAGTAAACGCATAACAATACGCACATTAAAATTCAGTTCAAGAGAAGTCCGAGTCTGATGTCAGAAGATGTAACCAAAGAAAATAAACAAAATGACAATAATACATAAATAACAACAGACTACTAGCAGTTAACCGACATGCCAGCTCCAGACTTCAATTTAACTGATTGAAAGATTATGTCTTCATCATATGAATATCAGGCACAATCCTTCCCGTTAGGTGTTTAGTATCATACCATCATAACATATATGAGAAGAACATAACCCGTGTCATGCCAACAACTGGTTTTTAAATAAATGTGTTTAGTGCCGATGCAAAGACCCTATAAGTGAATCAATATTAACGCCAAAAAAGACCTGTTGGTGACCTTCTGCTGTTGTCTGTTCTATGGTCGGGTTGTTGTCTCTTTGACACATTCCCCATTTCCATTCTCAATTTTATATTGTATGGCATTCGTCAATTCAAAACAAAGACACAGAACAAAACACATCTAGAGGGTAACATATTCAATTTAAAAACTGACATGTGTCTATACAATTCAAATTTGTAAGGTCTGAATGGTCCAGTTGGGAATAAATCTAATTGAACAAAATGATTATATATCTGTCCTTAGTTGTCATAAGTTTTGCTGATGAAAAGGGAGAAAATCAGTCTCAAATTAGAGAATTCAGTTTGATTGGAATCGTGTTTTCGAAAAGATACTTATGTAATAGTAACTTTTGTTACAATTCAAAAGATTTACAATTCAAAAAAGATCGAAAGCGAGCCAAAGAATAGGGAGAGCATCGAAAACGATTTAGATGCCTACAAAACTAACACTTAACCAAAAATTATTGTTGTAATATGAGGTAAAAATCCAAGTTCTCAAACGATTAAAGTCGTATGAAACGAGTTTCTTGAAACTATCATGTTGATGAAATTTTTACACATGTTAAACCGGTGCAGAGTATATATACTAAACTGCGTCCTCTATGCACGAATTTTTTCATTTCACATATTATAAAAAAAAATTTCATTCCGTGATAACTTTGCCTGGTTATTAACTTTCGTGTTTTACCGAACTGAACGTGACCTTAAGAAAAAATCAACACAGAATCATAGAGCACGGAAGGGGCGATGTTCAATTGTTTTAATATATTTTCCATGCGTTTCTATTTGTTATTTAAACCTGATCATAACAGTTGTTAAATTATATGATTTGGTATATTATAATTTTCTATCAAAATCAATTAACACTATCTACCTTCCACGTTTATTTACCTTTTCTTTCATCACGAATTTTTCCTCGCAATTGCACTCTGCGGTTGCGAAAGTACTTACGACATGTCTCGTGGCTAAGTTCACTGCATACTGAAAAGCTATTCGCGAATTAGAAAACTGTGTTCCGTTAAGTCAATAGCAGCACACTTCTTAACATTTTGATAAGATAAATAATTTTGTTTTTTGAGAAAGTCCATGTACACGTGTTTAATTGTAAAACTTGGCAATTCAAGTATAGAAAACCTGTTCTTTTTTATAAATTTGTAGTATCATTTATGACTACAACTTACATTATTGTAATAGTTAACATTGTGTGGCATGTAATCTCTAATATTTGACGTTGAGTGGCATGGAATTTTCTTTCATCTATCGCGGTCCAATGATGAAACGATGATTCAAGACTTTGTTAAGGTACATGTAAGTGCTCACTTTCAACTGACTTTTATTTGGCATTTTCTGTCTGTTCATAATGCTACTCCGCTGGTCGATGAACAAAATGAAGCTTTAGATGATCAACAGTTTATTTTTCTTTCGCGATATGTATGCCTGTGAGCTTCAATAGTGACTTAGTCTTCTTATTTTTTCTATGAGGGACAATGGCGTGACAGGTAAAAGTATCTGTTAAATTCTTGTTCAAATTGCACAGAGTCAAAAAAAATTAGAATTTAAGTAAATAAGAGTTGATAACATGTATAACAATCATGCAATATATTAATCAAATATAAAAACAAATGTGGTATGATTGCCAATGAGACAACTCTCCACAAGAGACCAAATGACACAGAAATTAACAGGGTCACCGTACGGCCTTCAGCAATGAGCAAAACCAATACTGCATAGTCAGCTATAAAAGGCCCGAAATTAGTTCTTCAAAGGAATATAATTTACAAATATGTTATTGTTAATTGACTCCTAATAACGTACATTGGATCCTGAAATGGGCAATGGTTCTTCTCATACAGCCTTTTCAAGAAGAATGCTTATTCAAAATTAACAAAAAAATCAAATGGATATCATGGAGTTATCTCTCTTTGCAAAATGTACATAATGTTTTACATATACATGTAGTGATTTAAATATGCCATAAACATAATAATGTACTGTTTAATACAATTTTGAAAAAAAAAATCGAAAATATCTATTTGTTTTTCTAAGATTTCTATGCTATCATAATCTTGGTGATATGTTCAACAGACTTTACGTGATTTACATTTAACGGTGAAAGAAGCTATTTTATTACATCTAATGGATTATCTGATTCAGTCACAATACTTGGTGTATCCTATGAGCTATTTTATACAAAAGACACGGCCTATAATTGTTTAGCTTTGCAATGTCGTGGTTTGTTATGTACAATGTAGTACAGCAGGAACAAGAAAATCAAAACTGGATGGCAACTATTGTTGATAAGGATATAGGTTATCAGTATAACGACAAAGTTTTGCAATTGCTACGTGTTTATGTCTTGCAACATCATGTAATTTTTTTAATTGTTGTGAATAATTATGAAGTTTTTGATACCGGGCTGAAGTACGTTCACTATTTACTTTTCACTTTTCAGTATTTGATTTTATAATTTGTATAGTAAATACATTTGTCTCGATAACATGAGCAACATGCAATTAAGAAAAGAATCGATAATTTAACGGCGGAATGTTTTTTTCAGACTTTATTTAAAGATGAGATCTGTTATCAGTTGCTGTCTAAAAGACGACACAATGTATTGCTAGGTTTTTATCTACTCTCTGTAAATAAGCATCGGTAGTTTCAATATCGTATTAAAGGGCACAATGAACAGAGATTCTGTCTCTATAGCAGTGTGAGTAGATTCTGGTCAGTGTTAATATATTATGAGTGGACGCTAAATAGAAAAAGTTAGTTGTATGGCCGGAATGATTTAAGTCATTTATTTTATTTATCATGTTTATCGCTTTTAGTGAAATAATGATTCAAGACTTTATTAAGTTGCATGTATGTGCTCTCTTTGGCTGACTGATTTTGCATTTTCTGTCTGTTCCAGACCCTACTCTACTGTGTGTGAACTTCGATAATGGCTAT